GCCCATCTTTCCCCCTGCACTATCATTAAATGGATTTCCGGGATCCTCAAAGGCTTCTGTTCTTTGTCTCTGGAGCAATTCGTCTTCTCCGAGAGTCGCAAATGCTGCACCAGGGCGGTGCATTTTGCGAGGGGACAAAAACAAAGTCGTCCTGACACTTCCGAGCATACTTGAACAGCGAAGAGACCCCTTCTCTGCAGGCTTCTTGGGTCTCTTAAGCATCGGCTGCTTTGCCACACCTCAGCTCTCTCGGGGACTGGTGGCATGGATTCCAGCTCTTTGGCTTAAAAAAGAGAGAGAGGGAAAAAAAAGTTGGAGGAGACAAAAGGGTGTAACCCTTTGCTTTCTTTAGTAGTGGAACGAGGGAGGCGCAACAGCCCGGCGGGGCAGGCCAAACCTGTTTCTGAAACTCAGGAGGAGCTGGTTCGTCAAGGGAGGGGCTCAGCGGAGATGAGCCGAGGCTGGGAAAGTCGACACTCGTCGAGAAACCACGCTCTGCGGTCGGGAGAGGTTTCAGGTGTGCAAAGGTGCACATCGCAAAAGGCCTTGCCCTTTTTTGGGGAGGGTTTAGCCCTGCGCTCCGAATGACAGGAGGCCAAAACCTGGCCGAAATGCCTCCTGTTCGCAGCGCCGCAGTGCGATGAGAAAGAGGCCGGGCCGCTCTTTGCCAGCGAAGCCTCGACGTGGTTCAGTGGATTGCCGGCTGGGCTAGAACGGGCTGGGGTTGAAATCCACGAAGTCCAGTCTGCGCCGGAGCCTACCTGGCAGGGCCGTTGTGGGGAGAACCCTCATCTCGAGCTTCTGCAAGGAAAGGAGGCTTGGAAAAAGTTACTTTGGGGGGGGACGGCCCCTCCAAGGTCTGGCAGGAAAAGTGGGAGATGCAATTTATTTATTTTCAAGAATTTTACCCCGCCTTTCTCCTTAAAAAAAGGAGCCAAGGCGGTTTACATCATTTCAAGACAATGTTGCCCTGTCCCGTCTCCTCCCTCTGGGAGTTATCTCTGTGTGGGTAACCCGCCTCAGGAGATGAAGCACTGACTGCCTTTTTGGCTGATAAAGGAACTGACACGAACTTGAAACGGCGGTTCGTGCCCATCTGTAATGGCTACAGTAGCTGGGGTGGGAAATAGAGGAACAGGGTGTAGAAAAAAAGTATTGCTAGCTCCAGATTTGTAGGATTCTCTGGCAGGGTGCATTCAGGGTCCCCATGATAGCGCCTGACCTGTTCTCCAGGCCACTGCTGCCCACCCGCTTGGGCTCTCCCCTCGTGCCCGTCGGCTCAGTCCCTCTTCCCTCTTCCCACCACCTGGAAAACTTAGAAAAGAAACATCAGGCAAAACCCGAAGAAAAGAAGAATAAATAAGAAAAAAAGAAGAAGATAAAATCTGTGTAGCACCTTACTGACGAACTGGTTCTATTTTAATTTATCGGACAAAATCCGAAGAAACGAAACAAGGCAAAAACGTAAAGACTAACTATTAGATGTCAATGTGAGCTTTCGCGGAACCTTGTCTTCTTTGAAAGAAACATCAGGCAAAACCCGAAGAAAAGAAGAATAAATAAGAAAAAAAGAAGAAGATAAAATCTGTGTAGCACCTTACTGACGAACTGGTTCTATTTTAATTTATCGGACAAAATCCGAAGAAACGAAACAAGGCAAAAACGTAAAGACTAACTATTAGATGTCAATGTGAGCTTTCGCGGAACCTTGTCTACTTTGTCAGGCGTATGGAAACGGAACGAAATGTTGAATGAAACATCAGTTACATACTAAATATTCATCGGCTCTTAGACGTACGGTGTATTTACATGCAGCAATTTGTCTTATGCTGTTTTAGGGGTTTGAAGACTGGGGATTTACTTGAAGATCGAGAGGGAAGGAAGAAGAGAATGTTAATGCTAGCTTTCCTTGACAAGTCCACTTCTTCAGGTATAAGAGGTAAAACACAGAGAAGAAAGAGGAAGGGCAAAAATCCACTGTGGGATAATTTGGTGGATGCAGAGCAAGGCTGTGTACCGTAATTGGCCGTTAAGACAAAACACAAACTGCCTTTGGTTTATTTCTGCATCTCCGTGGTGGCTGTCGGATGCGACAAAGAGCGCAGCATGCTTGTGGGGTGGAGCATCACCCCACATGGATCCCTTGCATAAACGCAGTGTTCATAAAAATGTTGAACGAAGAAAGATGTGCCATGTGCCACAGGGAAAGGGAAAGAGAAATGGTCGAGACTTTATAAGGAATGAGCTGGTGTCAAAGGACAAGGAGGCGGACAGCTTCGGTCCCCCAATGAGGCGAGATCTCAGCCCGCCCGCCTCTGCCCTTCGGGAGACGCCCAAACCACTCATTCCCAAGCCCGAGATGTTATTGATGCACTTCCAGATCCCCGCTCATAAAACGTTCCTGTGTATGGATGGATCATGCACGACTACGACTTGAAAAGTTTGCCCTCACTGGACAACTTACCCACTCGAGGCCCAGAGCAGGAGAAGAGATTAATTTGTCTGATATCCTGAAGTGGCTTCCTTATTAAGCCGCTTCACAGCATTGGCCAACTGAAAGAGGAAGGCTTGTTTGGATCCGTTTTAGCAATCACACACACACACACACACTGGTTTAGTGATCGAAACCAGAGCGATCCGACCTGCACCCGAAATGCAGAAGCCTTTGACGGGGGCTGGAAAGGTCTAGGTGGAAACGCTCTGGCGGCGGCTGCAATCCAGCAAACATGTGGTCAGATCGCCTTCTTGAAGACAGTGCATGGGTCTATCACAATTTTGTTATAACAGTTTATTGTGGTTTTTAAGCATTTTTTTTAAAAAAAATTATCAATCCTAAACTTAAGCTCCTAGAGTTTACTCAGCATGTGCATAAATCTAGTGCTGCAAAGGCGTGACTCATGCCCTGAGATTTTGTCTCTGCCCAATTTATTAATCCACTGCTATGCTTTTTCCTTTCTCAAACAGAAACCATCCCGGGGGTAAATAAAAGGGCAGTCTGACCTGCCCAGCCTCATGCCGTGTGTCCCCCCCCTCCTGAGGCCTTCCCCCCCCACTTGTGGGTAGCGTGAAGCGTCTCTTCCTCACGTGATGCCAGGTATGTGTGGTATTCTCGTCTCACCCATCCCTGGACGGCTGTGAATCACCTTCTTGGTACTCTAGCAATGTGGGCAGAACTGGCGCCCCTACGTCCAAAGCACAGAGACTTGGTGACATTGCCTTGCTTGAACTGCTTGGAGAAAATGGGCTGGCAAGAAGCCAGAACCTTTCTCCATTCTAAATCTTCCTTCCTTCCTTCCTTCCTTCCTTCCTTCCTTCCTT